TCGTGCGGTGCATATACGTGCCCAGTACAGGCAACGTTATTATCTCCCGCAGTATTGGCAGGCCCATATATCCGCGATAGGAAAAAAGTATTCCATTCAGCTCTTGAGCTCTCGAAGATACACGCGCACACATTTATACGCGATCGTAAGGCAAACGAATACGTATATGTTTCTCGGTGCGGCGGCGTGGGCGCGAGCTTATGCATGCGTTATTGTTGTTGAACAGCTGCGCCCGTGTGCCTCGATCGCTGCAGTATATATAGTACATATACATACGTGAAATAAGCCATCTTGTTTAATCTCGTTACGTATATATACACGCACGTATATATTTAAACGACGTCTCCCATATAGCGGGTTTCAATAAACTACGGATTATATTATTGCACTCGAGGAGGCAAGCAGCGCCCGGCGATGTTCTCCTGAATAAAATACTAATTTCAATTTTACATTCAAGTACGAGGAGAATTGTTGCTGCTGCGGCCGCGGCATAATGCTGCATGTACCATACATTCTTTCAATTGAGCTGCTCGGTGACAAATTGTCTAGGCATATTTTCATAGCGAGAAAACGCGCGTAATATTCCCGCGCATATATGCATAAAGAAAATTTATCAAGCGCCTATACGAGGCTTCAAATGTGCAGCTCGTGTAATTTAAATCTCTCTTGCTCATTTTGTCGAGGGTAAAGGAAGAGAGAGGAGAGAGAGATAGACAAAGAGAAAAAAGCGCATACACATACAACATCGCAAGCGCGAACGGTCACTCGATTTGGATTAAATTAGGATCTTGAATGGCCGAGCTAATTTGACCTCGAGGCATATTTCAAGCATACGCATATAATGCAGATTATAAATGATCAAATTACATCAGGCTATAAATTAGAAGAAGTAGAAGAGAGAGAGAGAGAGAGAGCGAAAGAAAGCCGAGGAGGGCTCGCCTCGCGCTCGCAGCTTTATATTGTCACCGAGGACACATACACACAGGCAGGCACGCAGAAAACGAAGAAATCAAAGTAAATTGAAAAATCCACCGTACGTGGTGCTGCGCCCGTGCACGTGGTGTGCTCATGTATAGCGCATACATGCACGCGCTCATATGCGCTATAGGACTGTAAGCCACACTATATGTGTAGCAGCAGCAACGATCGCGAAATTGAGAATTCCCGCTGTGTCTCTGGTAAATGAGCCATAATTGGAAGGAACTGCATCACGAAGCCAGTAAAAGGATCTGAGTTTATGTGTGTGTTCGTGTGTATGTATGTGTGGGTAGCGCATCGTGGCCATGCGCGCCTCGGCCCTCGGCCACTTGTTTGCTTTTCACCTTTTTCTCTCTATCTCTCTCTCTCTCGCTTTTAAATTAGACGATGCTTTTCATTCAGCCGACATCTGCCCCGCCCTCGCTTAGCTCCTGTGTGCAGCGCAGCAGCAGCATCAACCTGGGACCCTCGCATGTATATACCGCATCCAGAGAGCTGAAGCTGTTAGACAAAAAAATTGTTTGGCTACCGAACTCATACGGCCGTAAATCTAGACCGAGTGATTACGATATATGTATTTTGCAGCTATTGATATTCCTTATGGATGTAATTGCAATAGCTTTTATTGTATCTTATGTAGGACGTTTCGCGGTTCAATCCTTTTAACACGGATACGACATCGCTTATAGGATTGAGGATTATACTTTTTTTTTTCTGCAGACTCATTACATAAGCAGACTTAAGCTTGACAAAAGATCTAATTTATGATACCTACTGCACGTTTCACATTTATTACATATCTCAATAACTGCACCAAGGCTATCTTTGATAATTTTAATATCTTAACTTGGATTGTCGTCGACGTTGAGCAGTGAATCGAATTGGCTCAAGCTTTTGTTCATGCACACACAACTTCTTGAGCAGGAAACCAGCTTTGATGCATTACAATATACATTAGAAGTGTGAATTTCAGAAAATAACTCGACTTAACATCGGGCCCTCGACATCACGTCCACCGCGAAAACAAAGAATCCTTTCAACAGGACTAAGTAAAAATCCTCTGTTTTTTTTTCTCATGAAGCGACCGATGTAAATTAGTTCCAGCTCAAACTGTCCTGTAAAGTTCCTCTCTTTCTCTCGATAACAAGAATCTCTTTAAGAAGCCTAGGATATAAAAAATTTCTCGATTTTTCCATGCGCCTGGGCGCGCGAGCGCAAGGAGACAAAGTTGCGCGCGGCAGTGGCGATAGAGAGCGAGAGATAATAAGGCGTGACAGAGAAGTCTTCTGGGTTTCGCCAGCGGCGCCTTTTCATCGCCCATCCTCGGTAATTATCCCAAAAGCTTGTGAACTCAGCCTCGAGAGAAACATTGTCTTCTCTACGGGTTTCTTCTGATTTTTTTCTCTTCTTTTTACGCTGCACGTTCCTCTCGTTGCGGGCCTTTTCTTATCCCGCGCGCGCAAACTGCGACACAGGAGCGCGCAAGTCCTGCAAAGAATACAAACACCTTGCCGCACGTTCATTATACCATGTTGTTTTCTTACTGAGAATTGAGGAGATGCGAGTATTAGATATAAGTTTTGACAAGTGCGACCGAAAGCGAGCTTACGGTGAGATAGCCGCGTACTGCCGCGATCTGACCTTTTTTCCCAGCCAATGCAACGCGGCGAGTTGGCAACGGATCTTTGCTCATTGAGTTTTTCACCTCGTCGCTCCTGCAAAGGGCATAGTATGGCAATGCTAATTCTTAATCCGCAACGACGGCTCTAATCGCTGTATCATTCAAGACATTATGCTTGAAAAAAAATTATACAAATTAACTCGGTGCACGGGCGCGGGCAGCACAAATGGTGCAAGTGACGCAAATCGCAACTGTTAGACTCACGCTGCAGCTCATGGTGGCAATGTTGGTACAGATATCATACGCGTATACACGTACGTTTATAGGATAGCTGCTGGTGTGCTTGGCTGCCTACCTCTATAACGCATACAACATAATACTTCGTTTCCACTCGGCTGAAGCGGGCGCGTGCGCATATAAATTTCACTGGCACGCATAAATCCGAGTAACAAGCAGAGCAATTAATCGAGCTCGCGTAAGTCTCACTCACTCACTTCTACGTGCGTGTATCTGTGTGCCGCCTGACTCACTCCCTCTCTCTCTCTCTCTCTCTCTGTATGTACGTGAATTACAAAAATCGCGCGCGAGCATATAAAGCCCTACAGCACGCAGTACCCATAAATCTCGTGCATCATTAGAGTCCTTTATTCCTAACGAATCATAGGGAAGCACAGGCTTATACGTCCACCCGTGTACGTGTGTGAGTGCATGCGTATCTGTTGGTGTGTTGGTAAACAAAAACGAGAGATAGAGAGAAAAAATTTTGAAATTCCAGGTGTGTGTTGCATTTGTGTGAATGTGCACTCGAACGCAAATCAAACACGTGCACGCACGTAAAAATAGGTAATTAATTGGAGCACTGCATATACAGCGTGTCTGTATCTATGAGCAAGAATAAATGAGAGCCCGATTATATAGGTATATACACACGCATTTGCAAGAGTGCAAGCGAATATATGGATGTGTGTATATAAGATTGTATACACATACACGAAAGTCTCCGCGCGAGTGGGTGGGCGCGCGCGCGCGAATCGTTCAATTAACGAAGAGCATCGCAGCAATAGCATCGACGTAGTCGTCGTCGTCGTCGTCGTCGTCATCTTTGGAGGGGCTCCTATACCCCTCTCCGCGCACGCGAAAAGAGTTTCTCCCGGGGGTCTCTCAGTGTTCAAAATGCCCCTCCTTCGACGGCGCACCTACCTCCTCCTCCACCTCCTCTTCCTCCTCGTCTCGTTCTCCTCTTTCTTTCACTCTATGCGCGCTATACACACGTCTCGGCCGCGCTCTGAGTCTGTATCTCTATATATACTGAATATATATACGCCGCCGCCACCGTCGTCGTTGTCGTCTACCGCCTGCCTCCCCTATCGTCCCTTCGTCGCTTTTGCGCGCAGAGAACGCGGCGTGTCTCGTATCTATGTGTGGGAATACGTATGCATCGTGCTGCCTCGTGCCTGCAAGTGTGTGTTGGTGCAGATACGCGCGCGCGACGCCAGCGGTGGCGGCGGCGGCCGAGAGAGTACCAACAGCAGCAGAGGCAGCAGCACAAGCAACCCAGTGGAAGGTGGGGATGCGCCAGGCTGGCCGTACCGAGAGAGAGAGAGAGCAACACACTCGTTGGCAAGCCGTCGCAACGAGCGCAGCAGCGCCGACACAGTAGAGAGTCGAGACCGACCCCCACGCCAACGTGTTTTTTCTGTGTTCTGTATATTTGTGTCCATCTCTCTCTCTCTCTTCCTCACTCTTTCTCTCTCTCTTTCTCTCTCTTTCCCTCGGTGTTTTCGCGTGTGTTATAATATATGTGAGTGTGTGCGTCGACTAGTGAAGCCAGCGGTGTTGTCGCGCGAATTTAGTTTTATACACATGATACGTGCCCGTGTGCCAGACAGAAATATATTCAAGTACCGCCAAACAGGAGCAGTAGTAGCTGCAGCAGCTTGAGCTTCGCATTGCCGAAGAAAAACGGAGCTTTTGTGTTTATGCGTGCTTTTTCGTGCACGCCGCGAGTGAGACAGAGAGAGTTCGTTCTGTGTAAGCAGCTCAGCCAACGAGTACTGTACACTGGAAACCCGCTTGATGAACAGCAGCTCAACCAAATTTAGCTAATTGTATTGAGCTGTATGAGCCCAAAAATATAGTCCTCACAACTAAATGTTATATCGTTGCTGATCGTTGAACTGTCAGATGTTGCTATGTTCATTTTAATGAACATTCTGGTTATGTTCACTTACAAACGCGTGATATTGACGTAACGTGGCTCAGTTCACATTTGTTGGCATAGAAAAATATGAATTGAGCTGTATCAACTCAAAAAATTGCGTTGGCAGAGCTACACATCGAATCGAGCTCGTATAACCCGAGATTAAGCTCTGCCAACTCAACATGGTTTCCAGTGTACATACGGCGACTCGGGCTTTTCAGTAGTAGTCTCGCTGTACGGTCGTACTAGACATCGACTTTTTAAATTCCTAGGATCTCCTCCTACTTGCTTCGAGACTGTTTCGAGTCTGCACCGAAGATACGAAGAGAAGGATAAACAAAAAAACTCGATGCTCGTGTAAACGGATAGTGTTCGCAACGCAACATCCATCGACGAGACGGAACAAAACGTGCTACCTCTCTTTGGCTATTGTGTAGTACGATTTATCGAAGTTGCGAATACGCAGAGACCCTTTTATTTTCGGTGCAGTTTTGTAAACAAAGCGTGCTGTGCAATATATATATCTCATAAGCGATATTACGTAATCCATAAGTGTGTTGACGTAGTGTAGGCTGCTGTTTTTTTCCTCCTCGCAGAGGGCTCGTGTGTAAACGTCAGGCATATAAAAGTGCAAGATACATCGTAACAATTTTAACGTAACGTACATCCAATAGGCGCAAGCTGTACACGTGAAATTTATCTATGGTGTTGATATTAACAAGTGGCCTACGAGGTATTTTTTAAAGTTTCGAATAAGTGTTATTTACGACGGCTCAATAAAATAGCACGATCGGTGTCGTATCTCAAAATATCGAATTATTTGAATAGTGAATTTCATCTTATATAAAGTGTATCTGTCGATAAGCAGTTGAAGAAGTAAAATAAAAATCGTGAGATTACTGCAGTGATTGCTGAATATAAAAAGTGTTGTTTAACGTTTCAGTGCTTTAATTTTTTTTTGTCTCTCTCGAGAAATGCATAATCAGTCATCGGCTAGCAGTCACTCAGCAACGACGTTAATTACGATTTACCACTCGTTGACTTCTGGTAAGTTGTGCGATGCATTTACGTATCAAAATGTTCGGAAATAAAATCCCCCGCATTTACATTGCTAGTACAAGTGTACATATAGATTCATATACATGTATAACACCGAGGGTTGATACAAGCGCAAGCGCTGCTTCGCCGCTCTCGTCTCTCTTTCTCTCTCTCTCTCTCTCTCGCTCTCTATAGCTGTCTCACTCACTCGCTCGCTCTCTCGTTAGTCGTCGGCGTCGTCGTCGACGCCACGTGCTCGCACACAAAAGTAAATACACACCGACATACAGGTATAAGATCACTTCTCTCGGCTCTATAGCAGGGCTTATCTGCCGCTAACAGCGGTATAACACTTGCAGCCAGCTACTCCGAAAACGTTACGTTCGACGTGCGGCAAAAATGAATTCGCGTAACGAAGAAAGTTTAGCTGCCTGTAATATACTTGCGCATTAATGTACGTGTCTGTGTGAGCGAGTATTCTCATGCAGTTTCATGTACGTATACGACGTGGACGTATAGAAGAGACTAGTAGGCTAGGAGAGCTTGCTGGCTTTCGGCCAGAAGCACCATCGTGTCGAAATATTATCGTCTCGCGAATGGCTAAGAAGTGCTATAGCCTAGAAAGTGAAGCTATGCATAGCTCATATTATAAACTCGTGTACGTCCGTCCGTTCCATCTTTCGCTGCGTTTTACGTTAGTAAGTATATTTACGCTTGGTTGCACACACGTAAGCGCGTGTGTGTCTGTATGAGTATATCAAATATACATACACACAAAGGCGGACAATTTGCAAAGTATTGTGCCGGCAGTTTTACATATCTGCAACCTATGTAGGCCGAGGCATGTAAGTCCAATTAGTTTTAGACTATATCGCCGTGCTGCCGCTGTTACTATACCGCCGCCGACGCCGACTAAGGCGGTCTGCGCGTGACCGTGTGTACGTATATATATCTATATACAGAACGCGAATTTACACACTTATACACGAGGATAAGATCGGAGCAACCATGAAGTCTGCCAGTATAATTAGGCTTTTATCGCGGGACTTCGCCAACAGCCGCTGCTCGCGCGCATATATGTGTGTATGTGCAGGCGAGCTACTACTGCGGATTTTTTAGGCAGTATCGACCGCGTGTGCGTGTGCACTAGTCGAGTCCTCTGCTTCGGCGTATGTAGCAGATATATTGTATAATTCTACTGGCGATCTCGCTCGTCCGTGCAAATATTTGCATCGTGCACCAACAACTATACCGAAAATACGACATTTAATAAATAAAGAATTGATCGACTGTCTCTGTCTCTCTTTTTCTCCGCTCGACTCTCCGCGTCGAAGATTAAGGTCGCAGCTGGTGTGTGTATGGATGGTTAATGCAGAGCTGACCTCTCCCTCTCTGCTCTCCCTCCTTCGCCTGCTCGCTGCCTCCTTCTCCCACACTCACTCGCACACTCACGCACACACACGTACTTTGCACTATACGTATACGTGTATTCGCACTGACGGATAAATCACGTGACTCGTGCAGCACATGTACATAAATACACGAGCGGTCGCACATACTCACGCAGCATATCGTATGTAGCTGCAGTACATCGTGTGCGGCTAGGAGTAATTAAAGCAGCGAAGGTTTTTGAGCGAGCGACTTCGACGAGCGAGTCGTTTTCTTCGACTTGTCTCTCGCACTCTTACGTAAAACTCACGCCAGGCTAGTTTCGCACATATATGCGTAGTAGTCTTGTATGCATCAAATAGCAGCGGCATCGCATACGCAGCGTGTAGTCGTCTTTCCTTTTATTGAACTTGTACTGTATTTCCAGATAAAAGTGATGTTTTTTCGTACGAGCTTGTTTCCGCTCGAAATAATATAAACGCTAGAAATCCTGAAAAACTGAGAAACAACTTCTGGAGGATGAGAAAAAGACGTGTTCGCTCGCTTTGTCGCGTTGATGCTGTAGGCGGCTGTTTGCAATTAAACGAGAGTGACCTTATCGTCAAAACCGGAGAGAGAAAGAGAGAGAACCCGGCCCCAGCGAGGTTAAATTAAAATGTAAATATTTGATTAATGCTATAGAGAGAGAAAGAGAGAGAGAGAGAGAGAGAGTGCAAAGTTTGCAAGCGAGCAGGTGGACGAAACGATAAAAGGAGGCACATATATTATATATACACATCTACGATACACACATAGACATACATACTGAACGATCAAGAGAGAGAGAGAGAGAGAGAGAGAGAGAGAGAGAGAGAGAGAGAGAGAGAAGATAGAGAGAGACTGAGCAGGAGAAAGCTCGCCTCGAGGGTGGACTTGAGAGGGAGGGTAGCTTTTTATTGCCGGTTTTTATTAACCTCGTAGGCCTCCTACTATTCTCGTTCTATCAGCAGTGCCACTGCCACCGCACTACCACCACCACCACCGTTGCACCACCACTACCTCGCAAGCACTATGCCCGACGTCGACGTGACTTTCTCCGACGTCGAAGAGCAAGAGTACGACGTGAGCGCGAGGGTTGATTAAAACTAACGTTGAGAGAGAAAGAGAGAGAGAGAGGAGGCCAGAAGCAAGATAAGAGGAAAGAGGGAGGAAGTGAGAGGCAGAAGGAGAGAGAGAATGTAAGCCCGCAAATTGAAAATTAAATTAATATACAAAAGCCCCGCCGGGCTAATCAGCTGTACAGGGCGTGTTAGGTATTAATTAAATGCACCCAAGTGTCAGAATGTATTATATAGATTCATACGTAGAAACGCATATGATGGAATAGAGGACTTTGGTAACGTGCACCCTATTGTTGAATTTTTTCCCAACAAAAGATCGAGGAACAGGAATCAGGATGAAAATCATAACGTGAATTGAATACGATCGCAATTTTCATTAGAGTAAAAGTATTCGTTTAATTTTTTCTTCCCTCCCTGACGCGCGTTTCGGGATGCCGATAATAAATCAAGCGCTACTCTATGATAATAAAACCAGTCGGTCGAGCCAGTCAAACCTGCCACGTACATGCATACATACATGCATACATACATACATATGAACTACTCGCCTATTTTCATCAGCTAAATTATTTATCAACTTTTGCCCAGACGCTATCGAGGATAAAGCAGCGACCGGTAGTGGTGGTGGTGATGGCCGGTGCTGCTGCTGCTCGACACACACGTACATGCGAGAGCTATACGTATATATACACAAATAAGTTGGCCTTTACGCGTAGATATATATGGGGTGTAAGCTGATCCGCAAGCCTTTCAGGTACCTACGAGAGCTGCCCCGGCTATCTCCGTCTGTGCTGCTGTACGTGTGTACATGTAAAGGAAACGGGGGAAAGGGGAGGCGGGGGCACCTATCCGCGATTACTCTCCGACGGGCGCCTTGATGCATTAGCTTGCATGCACTCATGAATATTATACTCACTACTTTGGTATGGAGCTAAAACGAAAGAGGCTGCCTGCGAGAGTACGTGTGTGTATATGTGAGTGCCGGGGAGTGTGTATGGAGGGTTAAGAGAGAGAAGAGAGAGAGAGGCTAGTAGTAGCCAGTGGCCTGCTGTTGCCCTATAAGGTACAAGGTAGTCCATTAGCGTTAATGTTATAAACGTTAGTGTAGTGCAGTAGCAGCAGCAGCAGCAGCATCAGCCCCTGGGCCATTCTTGTATTCAGGCTTCTCTCTCTCTCTCGCTCTTGCTACAGCAGCATATACGTCCTCATTTTACTCCCTCGCTCGGCAACATACACACATACACATCCAAACTCATACGTACTCACACATTCACGTGACTCTTACGTGGACGTTGGCTAGCCAGTAGTAGCGGAGTACCAGCTCGGCTTTTCCGAGACGAGGGATAAACTAAAGTGTGTGTGTGTGCTGCGAAACTATACGCGAAAGCAGCAGCAGCAGAGAGAGGATTTTAGGCTACAGCCTCGGTGGCTACTGCTGCTGCTGTGCTCGAGGCTGTTTCTTGAATATAGCCTGACCACTTATACTCCTAGCTCAGAATTACACACACATACATACATACACGCTCATCCCCCTTTAGCGGACGTTTCCTATATGACTAAGTAATGATGGGATTGCAAGACAAGACACGAAAATATAAGTGCTCGAGCCCTGATGGACGTTGATGGAGTCTGATAATATAATCGTGTAGCAACGCTGGCTGCGGCCAACTGCGACGACTCGACTATGCTACTACTACACTCGCGGACGTTATTAGAAATTGATTTCAGATTTATTTGATGAATTATTCAACGCTAGGAGAGCCAACCGAGCTAACTGACTGCGTCGTATTTAATTCATCCCGCGCCGGGTGCGTATATGCATCAAAGCCGAGTCGTCGTTATCAAGAATTGGCTAAATGAGAAGCGCATAGTAGTGTACACTGCTCGCAAGCACACAAGTGTGCAACGTTGAAACTCGATAATTCATTAAGTACTTATTATGATTCTAATAAAGAATATAAACATCAATCCTACCCGTCTCCCCTCCATCTAGCCAGAAAGGAAATACGAAGATCTTCGAGCCCGAAATACGAGAGTAATCGTTCCGAGAGTCTCTTTGCTCGTGTACTATAAATAAATTAAATACCCATTTGAAATAAGTGAGTGCTGCAGCGATCGCTCCGTATTTTTCGCTCTCTCTGTCTCTCTCTCTCTCTCTCTCTCGCGCGTATGTATATAAGTACTACATCCAAGCGCCGATAAAATGACGATATAAAAAAGAAACTTATATTCACCGAGTAAGTAATAGATTGAGATAGGGAAACGATCGCGGAATTTTTTGCGTATACGTATACGCGTGATGTGTGTATATGTGTAAAATATCCAGCGGTAGAGGCACTAAGTGCAATAACGAATCGAAGCGGCGACGGCGGCAGTCGAGCGACGCGGCATCGTGCGCGCGTGCTGCGATATAGGCGCAGGCAATAACCGGCCAAGGGAAAGATAAAGAGGGATCCACGCGCTCTGCCTTCGCTTTCTTGCTGAACGAGAGAGAGCAATACACGCTGCCTGCCGGTGCTC